CAAAGGAACTTGTCTCCAATTTTCAAAGGATATGCTTTACTTAACTAAGGCTAATTAGCTGTGATCTTCATATAGGCAACAAAAAACTGCATTTGATTTTACATTTTTAAATAGCAGAAAAGGATTTCGCATTTAGCCAAAAAAGGACTTTCAGGATCATTACCGGGTTCTCAAGTGTGTACAAATAACTGTGCTCAAGATTATTTTCCTCACACAGGGTACTTAGGAAGAGTTTGTTGCTTGTAACATGCCCTAAAAACTTATGTAACCATTGCAGGGAGTTTCCCTCTCAGCAACATATTGTTTCAGTCCTGGCTTGTAGATACCTACTGCTGTCTTCATGTTTTTTCTGTTGATTGCTTTGTATTTGGTTGTAAAAAAACCCCGATATGTGTGTGAGTGTGTATATAAGTTTTCTAGAATAAAGCATCTTACTAGAATGAGTATAATAATGTTTCTTAGCTTAAGGACAGCTTTCTCCATGAAACAAATGTGGTGGCATATTGAAGACACTTCTGGAAAAGGAGCAACTTGGAAGCAAGGCAGTGAGGAAGACTGAGGCAGTGCTCAGTGCATCATGCATGCAATCTTCCTGCATGGAATTTAGCACATGCATAGCAAATTTCAGTTCAAGCCTACTGCATGGAATTGTTTTTACATGCTAAACACCCCTTCTGCAGCTAGTCCCATCTGCTTCTGTTCAGTGCCACATTAGCATTCCTGCTGTTGGCAGAGGGGCTAAACCTTCTTAGACTCATTAAAAGTTCACTTTTTCCCCTTGATTAATTACTTTTCTTCACCTGAAGTACAGAGAAAGACTGCTCTCATGACTTTTTAGTGCCTCAGCTAAGACATTACCAGGTTTATAGCTTCACAAAGCCAGAAGGTTCCTGCAGCTCCAGTTACAGAGTTCATACACTATCCAATCCATTTCATGTTTTATATGCTTTGGAGATATTCTTTCCTTCCTCAGCGACTGTTGCTGTAATTACACAAATGATCTGCTTCACTGTCACTTACAGTCCAAAGTGTCATCTAAAATTAAAAATTCATGTAAAAACTAGAGATGTTACTTTTTAAGCAGACAGTTCCGACCTGATCTGGTTTCACAATACCAGGTTTAACACTTCTCACTGCCTGGTTCCTGTGCAGGAGGAGGTGAGGAGGTGATGAGCTGAACCATGGTTGACTGGGGCTGCCCATTACTTTGCTAACAGTACTTTATCAGTGCAACATTATTTTGTTGATTAAATTAAGGCCTCAAATTCATCAGGATTTAAATTAACTACATTTTATTAACATACTGATATGAGCTACAAACAAGTTCTACTCTGCAACACCAAAGTTCATGGCAAATCCCTCCTCTCCATCACCACGAAAAGCTTTGGAGAAGGAATTCCTGTATCACATGAACACAGTCAAGGAACCCGCTGCTTGTTGCAATTTGTGTCGCATGAGGTTGGGGTTGATGCCCCAGAGCATCACAGTGCTACAAACAGCACCATGTCTGTGGGCCATGTGCTGAAACTGTACCCACTTTAATCACAGTTAAGTGAATTCACAGTGGAAACTGGTTACCCAGAGCAGCTGTGGCTGCCCCATCCCTGGCAGCGTTCAAGGCCAAGTTGGACACAGGGGCTTGGAGGAAGCTGCTCTAGTGGAAGGTGTCAATGAAGGGGCTGGAACTGGATGAGCTTTAAGGTCCCTTTCAACACAAACGAGTCTAAGATTCCATGAAAGCACTACACTTGGTTTCCCTTGCTCTTTCCAGGACTGCTGAAGGTACCGGCACATCTCAGCATCAGAGCAGACTGCGGCATTGTTAAGAAATCAGTGTGCAAAATATTGGGAACACACATTCTCTCTTAAATCTCTGGGAGAGGAAAGAAAAGAGATGGAAAACAAAAGAGAATGCATCAAAACAACCTTGAGCAATGTCTCTCACCCAGCCATACTTCTCAAGGTCAGAGGAGATTTTTCGGCAGCACAACTCCTACTAGAGCTGGAAATATGTTTTTGGGGGAGTTTTTTCAAACCACTAAATAATACTTTTAAACCAAGAATGGTTCAAGTAACTTATCATGTAATCTCAAATAATTATTTTCATGGCCATAGGAAGTGTAATTACATAGAAGTTATTTGGCTATTGCCATTTGTTTAAAGTACAAGATGAGGAGGGAAGAACACCAGTCATTTCCACCAGCCAATATTCATGCATCAGAGAAAGTTTTCTGTTTACACAATGTCCTACCACTGTCTCATCAAATTCGTCAGAATGAAAATAGTGTGCTTTGCCTTTGGAGACAGACTTAACAATTTGAGCTGAATTCTGAGACTGGATGCGCCCATTGACCCATTACTAGTGCGGGTGTTTTCATACCCAACCAGTTAATTGCCCATAAAGATTCATAATGTAACATGACATGAAGAACCACCAGATGTGACTCGTTAAAGTCTTATGCACAAAGCTAGGAAATCAGAAAAGGCTTGTTTTTCCAGACCAAGACAGCATTTCAAGCTTAAATAAATGCTTTGCGCAAACTCTTACATTTTTTCCTCTTGCTTTTTTTCTAAGTAAGATTGTCAGGAGAGAAAGAAAAAAATGTAAGAAAAAGACACTTTTGGATAGGAACAAATCTTATGCAGACACTTGAAATGCTGAAATAACACTATAGCACTTCTTGAATTCAATGGTATTAGGACAGATATTAGGCTGCATCTGACCTACTCACAGATGCTGTTATATTACTCCTGGAAAAGTTAAGCCTAAGGAAAGGCTCTAGCAAATTCTGAAAGCAGTCTTACAGCAGCATGTGCTCTGTATTATTTTCCTATACAGGCTGCTGTCTTTTCAGTGTGAGCACATGTTTAGTTTAGAGATTGCAAGTAGTGCTTGGTGGAACAAGACACTGAAGTTTTAGCCAGCTGGTTTATATTCCAAGAGGCAGCTTGCTATGGAAGGTCGTACTCATATAGGGAAAAGAGGTGGTTTCTTCTTCCCATAGCTTTCAATGGTAAGAGTGGTGTAGAACCTCGTTTGGTCTCATTAAAAGGCACGCATTTTAAAAGTCTGTAGAAATAAGCAATGCTTGCATAGACATGCAGGAATAGAATATAGAGAATGTGTTATAGTTGTAATCTGGAGAAAAAAAAACATTAAAAAAATGAAAAATCATGTTTTTTCCATTATTTAGATGCCCAAGTTCAGCAGAATTTGAAGTTGCTCAGGAAAATAGAGGCTTATGTTAGATTTCCATGCTGCAATGCACAGCAAAAGAGCAGTGGACTACAAAAATACTAATTTTCACATCATTTCTTTCAGGTGGTATTACTTCTAACACTGAACTCTGAAGTTTGTACTCAGCACAAAAATTGAGTTAAAGTCCAGACCAGTTGAGCTGTTCACTGAATACAGCTGTAACAATTCGATTGTTCCTGCATCACAGCCTTAACCACCTTTAAATGCAAGGTGAAAGAAAACAAGATTTCAAGTGATATCTATTTCACTTGGGAAGCATTTTGTCCTCTGCGTCATTCCAGCCAGAATCTCCTGTGATTCTTCTGGTGAAGCTACAAGAACTTAAAGTATGTAGTAACAGCAAATCCTGAGTACCTGTAATATTGTTCAAAAGGGAGAGGACACAATCTCACAGCTAAAAGAATAGTAGGTGCATGTTCTGTCCAAGGACACCATCTGCCATTATCAATATCACCCAGTACATCGACAGTCACCCAGGACTGCCATTGCCAGGGAACGCTGCTGTATTATTCACCCTTCCACAGTGGTTTCAGTGGTAGGTATTAATCTTTATAATGCTCCAATACAGAAACCCACAGTCAGCAATGTAGAGAATATAAACATCCTTCCCTGGCCAAACAGCAGATATTACAGCTAAGACCTGTGGCATACTGCATGCCCTGATGCAAGTTACTCACAGTTGTGTCAGTTTGGGGTAAAACAACCAGAAAATGTTTGAAGTCTCATAATTACAGTTCTTGCTTCTGGAAGGGATCAGACCAGCTACATACCTCAGTGCACACCCCATGAAATAAGAGTATCTTTCCATTATGGGTTTCCTCTGGTAATTCATAAGAGCCCATAAAACTGCAGACAAACCATAAAATAACCTTCTCATGGGCTGGATGAAGGAATTAGCAAGAGTGGGAAACATGCATGCAGAAATTTTCTTAACTTTCCTTTAACACTTTCATGCATTCAGAGCTTTTGTAGGAACTGGACTGTATTTATTTATAAGGCTACAGAGAAAAGGCAGAATTATACATACAAAGCACTATTAAGAAACAATGAGGCTCTGTGGTCTATTAGAAAGGGTTTTTTCTTCTCCAATTCAGAAATCTCTAAATTCAAATTAGCTTTTTTTTGAAGCCAACACACTTTTTTACTTAAGATCAGAAACATAGCTTATAACACAACTCAGTTCTATTGTCAAGATATGTGCTCTAAGCATAGTGTGCACTACCACCTAGAATAGCATATATCTTCTGACAGATTGAATATTTTTCTTATAGCTTCAGTGACACACACTGAACTTCATTAGTCTACATCTGTTTTCATAGTCAACATGAAAGAAAAACAAATTCATTGACATGGCTTTAGCAAGACTTTCTAAAAGTTAATAACTAATCATATCAGAGATTTGAAATCATTAAAAAAAGTGTTATTATCCCTCCAAAAAATACACTTTTACCCAAATGATGTTGTAATTAAATAAAAGACAAGCTGGCCTCTGACACGACTGATCTATTGACTCCCTGCATCTCTTCCAGCCTGCAGTGCTTCACAAAGCAGGTCTGGTGAACAGAACGTGCAGTTCATAGAGGACGTGTGAAAAGGTCACTGGCACTCACCTGGAAAGGAGATGTCAAGTTGAGAGCAAAAAAGTCCATTCAGAAGAAACACATTTTCTTCTGGCTGCAAAACTCTTCCCAGGATTCCCATCCTCCCAGTGCAGTGTCATTCATGCCCAGCCTTTATTTACCTCTCCCAAGGAAAGCCAGAATACTTCCTGCTCCCAGAGCTAAACACCCTCCCTAGACTTAAAGCAAACCACACCAGCACTAACCCAACCTTGGTGTCACCCTGCTTTGAACTAGACAGGAACTAGCACATTGCAACTTCTCATAGCCTGGCCAAGAGAAACTCAGCCTTCACTCTCAGCTCCTTTTCAATTAGCTTTTCAATTAGCTCCTACCTCTTAACGAGCCACAGGTTTGTCACCCAAACCTAGAAATGAGCAGGGAAGGATTCATGCTGTTGTCTTCTCCCAGCTGTGCATAATGCCTCCTGCAGCAGGGAGTTAGAGCAAGCTCTGCGTTTCACTACTCTGATGGCTAGAATATTACTTCTGTTGCTCTTCAGTCAATTGATGGCTTCTCTTGTGGCTTGTTCCCTAAGCAGGTTAATTTTAGCAGCTCTCTAATCTCCGTTTCCATCATATCGCTGTTAATGAAGCTCAGACCTGCCATTTTTAAGTTAGACCTAAAGTCACGATTTTAGCTGGAAGATATCTGCCTGGAGCTTCAGACTGAAACCTGCAATTTAAAGTGGAACTCTAGGAGACATGAACTTTTATACCTAGCCATGGATAGAAGTTGCTAAAATTAATAGACGCCACAACCAGGAAGGTTATATCTTACAAAAGCATCAATAGTACAGGAAAATGGATAAGAACAGACTCTCTTCACGGGAATATCCTTGACAGACAATAGGAAGCTCATGCCTCTGCTTTAGGCACCTGGGTTAGATGCCTGAAGTTGAATAACCACCTCAATTTGCATTGTTAATCCTTGTTAATTTGTGAGGCAACCTCACTAAATTCTCAAAGACAAGGGGCCTGACAAATACATGCTTTCCATAGCCCAGTCTCAATGAGCAGTGTCCTTCCTGAGTCTTGGCACTTCATAACTGCTGGTTTCAACTGTCTCTTTCACAGTTTTAAAGGGATAATTTCCTCCCTTCCTTGCAATGCCAGTGACTAACAGTGGATATTAACAAAATCCAGCACTGGATACAAGCTTATAACAGAGTAGGCTCTAAATAAAAAGTTTCCAGTAGTTTTATTACATTATCTAGGCTGTGACAGTCAGGCTATTGGCAGTGTCTAGCTCGTTGGAAGCTACTGTGGCTGTCCTCATCCATTAGATATCACAAGCTGTTTACTGAGATTGTATTCACATCTGCAAAAATCCTGAGTGGCAGTAATGCAGATTAAGATTTGGGCAGTTAGAGGTTTCTATTTTATGGAGCATTTGTACCCATGTTTCTCCTGGGATGGGTATGACCTCGATCCCTCCGTGATTCGTTGACCATCTTTATGAGCATGTTATTTCATTACAAAGAATTTACATTTTTTTTCCTGTGTTATATCTAGCTGAAGGCTCTGGTCGCTCCTGTGTATTCCAGTTGCCTGGAGCAAAATATCACCTATGCTATCCTGGGCATATTTGTAATGGAAAGCAGTTATACCCACAGACTTTCTACAGCTTCTCACTGCTAGTATCAACTTTACTGACCCCAAAGTGTATGGGTACATCTCTCTGGTTATTAATGGTCAGGTTGAGGGTCTGCTCCTCTTCTGCTGGCACATGGCCCATTGCATTCCATTAGTCATTTGTGTGGGCTGGTCCTCTTTTCTCCACGTCACACAGGTCTATGTGAATGTAAGTGATATAACCCATCACAGTGCTGGCACGATCTAAGCTCTGCTACTTGCTTCCTTTCCCTCCATTCCTCTTTCCTTTTTCTTATGTGTCTTTTCCTGTGCTACTCTGCAATTTCTCTCCCTTTCTGCCTAATAACCAGCATCACACCCCTGTTCACCAGACAGAAATTCAGCAATTTTTAATCATTCATAAATGTTGTCTGGGGGTTTCCTGCCCTAACCTGCTCTCTTGGAGAGCACACAGGCCAGTAGCATTGAGTCTTCAGCTGATCATAACATCTTTTTTCTAGGTCTTTCTAATTTTCTCTTTAGAAGTGTATGACACTCACACCTAACTTTATGTATCTCCTAATGACCCTGAGACTCTGGGGCAGTTTCTCTTAGGCTGCTCACATTTACCTGCAAAGCAGTGAGTCAGTACGCTCTTCCTCAGGCTCAGACTATCTGCATCCCTGTTAAAATTAAAGACACAGAGGCACTTCCCAAGAGCATCACTTTGCCCTGACAATCCCAGCCGACACGGCTTTCCTCTCCTCTACCCCAGAGGCACTATGAGTTGTCACTGTCCTTTGGTGGGGTTCAGCTGCAGACTGCTGCAGCATCCTTCCAAGGTGAAAAGCATTGCTTGTAAAACATTCTGAAAGGTTCGGCTTTATTAAATCAGTAATTCTCATTAGGCTCATATAATATCACTTTTTGCAAAGAGAGAACAATGAGGCTTATTTTTTTATGTATGTGTCTACCGATTATGTGCCTAAAAATCCTGCAGTATTGACGTAAGAAGGACCTAGGACCTGTGATTTTCATTTGAACAACATTTTAAAGGACAGCCAGAATTTCCATCATGCACATCTATTAGATTTATGTGACAAATGAAATTTTTCTGGATTATTTATATTTTTAAGTTATCAGCTAAGGTATTTCAGTCCTGGACCTTCTTAAGTATTCGTTGCCTCTAAATGAACTGGATATGTTGTATAATGGAATTACTAGATTTGTATTAAATTGTAGCTTTGGGACCCATCACTGTGTGATGCTATCTACTTTCAACTGGCTTTGTTTATCACAGAGAAGGGAACTGAATTAGCATAAGATACTACAAAGTAGTAAAGGGATTTTAGCACCCTATCTATTTGACCTCCTATTGACCTGGGCTAATTCATATTCTCCCTGGGATGCCGTAACAGGTCATTTTGTATTTGGAAAAAAATTAGGTCAAATTATGGTGCGACATCCCTTGCCTCTTTGGTGGCGAAGTCACGGAATTCCCTCTTTGCACACACACACACACAAGGCTGTGCTCCTCCTTTAAAGGAAACTGAACTTTTATTTGTAAATCACCAAGCAGGAGGTTTTTATTTGTCTTACTTATTGCATTCATGTGACTGCTGTGGCAAGCACGAGCATTTATAGCATTGTGTGTGGCTCTAACAGGATGGGAACACTGGGTGGGGATGCAGCGGAGGGCAGTACCGTGTGGTGGGTGTGCAAGCACATGGAAACATGCATGCGTGTTCATGGGCACACGTGGATACATTCCCACAAGGAATTTTCCACCCTGATCTTAACTTCGTCTTTCCTTTCCATGTGCAGACTGGAAATAGGAGTTTTGCTGTACAGGGACTGCTTGGAGGAGGTGGGGAATTGCATGGGTCCACCTTCAAGGATGGGCTTGACCCTGAAGCACCTCTTGGCCATCAGACTGATTTTTCCAGGAAATCAGATTGATTTTTCCTTCCATTTTGCGAAGGCTGACTTTCACATGGCAAAAAATTTCTGTTGAAATAATACTTTCCACAGGATTTAAAGAGTTTATTCCAAGCTCTCTTCTCCGGACTCTTGGACTACCCTGCAAGATCCTGCACTCCAAATACTCACACCTTCCTCTTGTGGGGAGAGACCATTGGGCACTTATTTAGGTGCAAAGGTGGTCTGGAGAATGTTGTGGGAGCCAGGTCTAACTCCAGACAAGGAAGGGATATTTGAATGTATTTAAGAAGGCAAAAATAATAAATGCTGGGTGCACTTACTGTGGCAGCCTGATGCTCTGCACCACAATGGTGCCCTCTGCAAAAGCCCAGACATGTCCTTTGCTCAGTGTTGTATCTTGACAGCCACTCTGTAGTGCTTGTGGATTTGGTCCTTAGATCACTTCTGATCTCAATGACCTTCTCAGACTTCAGCCATGATTTTTTTGCCTAACTTTAAATTCTATTTGAAAAACAAAAGAAGAGAGAAAAATAGATTTTTATTTGAAGGTTGTTGTTTGTAATTCCAGAAATTTAAGTCTATTTTTTTCAGCAAAAACCATGAAATGAACTCCAGCAGTTGCTCTGCAATGCAAAGGGTTGATGAATTACAACAGCAGCCTGCTTTAGTCTCCTTAATAAGAAATTAGATCACAATAGGGATTTACGAAAATTACCTTGAAATGTTTGTGTGTTTGAGTGATTGCACAATTTGCGCTAAAATGATGTTGGATCATATGAGTTAGAGCATCTGCCTCTTTAGTTAGTCTGTGCGCTGTTCTAAAAATGCCCTCTTCTCCTTTAATAGGAGTCTGCTAATGAATGCAGGAGCTTAACCCTGCAGACATTGTTTGCTTGTTTTCCTTCCATTTTGTCCAAATTGCATTATTGATAATTTTCTCAGGACTTCACAGATTTAGAATCATAGAGTGGTTTGCATTGGAGATGACCTTAAGGTCATGTTGTTCAACCCCCAATTTCCATGATGACTTTATCAACTACTGTTTCAGGTAGGAAGTGAGCAGTCAATTTAGGAAGTGGATTAAATCTTAATATTTAGCATTTCGGATAACTCATACCCCTGGACAAGTTCACTTAATTATTCACTGGTATCCTCTATTATAGATGCAGTTTGAAGAAGCACAGTTTAGTGTTAGAATGGGTGTCAGCCTTCTGAACATACATGCCCCCACCAGTGTTTTTAAGGAAGTCCACTACATTTCATTAAGAGGCGGGAGGCACAGGCTGGTGCACTGCATCTTGAATAACTTGGGAAAATCTTTTAAGTCAACCTTGTGTTTTAGTCAACGGGGAAGGTTTGACCTTTAACCTCCCAACAACCATCTGTTTCATTATTTATCTGAGGGAATCTGAGAGTTTTTGTTCTTTCACAGAAGTCCCTGACACCAAGATATTTTTAATAGCGGAAATATTTCATTCTTGTCACTATTCCTTTTGAAAATACAGGTATTTTCATACAACACGTAGCTAATGAGTGAAACTTCAGAATCCAACCTTTCTCTATAATCACAGGAACAGGGATTAAAGAGGTCCCACTAGTGAGGAACATGAAAATTAATTATTGAGCTCCTTGTTTTATCCTCCCCATCTGTCTGATATTCTCAAGCACACGAGTTAGACAATTAAATTACTCCTCCTTTTACTTCATCAGGATGTTCCTGCACCTTTTTGTGTAACTCCAGAGGCTCCCAAATTCTGTCCAC